CTAACTTCAGGTCTAAAATGTCAACCTCAATTTTGACATATTTGTAATCTTCATTAAAAATCCTTTAAAATGAGTACAAACACGACATATTTATCTTCAATATTAATGAAGTTATGGTCAACTTCCGGTTAAGAATGTCAACCTCAATTTTGACATATTTGTAATCGTCGTGAAAATCTGTTAAAATGAGTCCAAAGATGACGCACCTATCTCAAAAAACAAAAATGTTAGAATAAAAAACATTAAACACGAAGTTAGCAATAATGAAGATAGTAATTTAATTTTTAAATATTAATACAACCTTAATTTTTGATTTTTTTTTATTATATTTTTGTTTTTGTGACGAATATTAAGACATTTTATAAAAATTAAGAATATGTCAAAATGACATTGACATTTCAAACCGGAAGTTGCTTATATCTCGAGTAATATTGGAATTAAACGTATCATGTTTGGACTCATTTTAAAGGATTTTTCACGACGATTACAAATATGTCAAAATTGACGTTGACATTCTTAACCGGAAGTTGACCATAACTTCATTAATATTGAAGATAAATATGTCATGTTTGTACTCATTTTAAAGGATTTGTAATGAATATTACAAATATGTAAAAATTGAGGTTGACATTTTACACAGCTAAGAAAAAACTTTCAGGTGTTAATGTCAACTTTAATTTTATTATTATATTCGTAATCTTTATAAAATAACCTTTAAAATGAGTCCAAACATGATGCACTTATCTCAAAAAACAAAAAAGTTAGAATAAAAAACATTGAACGCTAAAATTTAATTTTTAAATATTAATACCAACTTTAATTTTTGATTTTTTTATTATATTTTTGTTTTTATGACAAATATTAAGACATTTTATAAAAATTAAGAATGTCTAAATGACATTGACATTTCAAACCGGAAGTTGCTTATATTTCGAGTAATATTGAAATGAAACCTATCATGTTTCAATTCATTTTAAAGGATTTTGCGACGATTAGAAATATGTCAAAATTGACGTCGACATTCTTAATCGGAAGTTGACCATAACTTCATTAATAGTGAAGATAAATATGTCATGTTTGTACTCATGTTAAAGGATTTGTAATGAATATTACAAATATGTAAAAATTGAGGTTGACATTTTATACGGCTAAGAAAAAACTTTTAGGTGTTAATGTCAACTTTAATTTTATTATTTTATTCGTAATCTTTATAAAATAGCTTTTAAAATGAGTTCAAACATGACGCACTTAGCTCAAAGAACAAAAAAGTTAGAACAAAAAACATTAAACGCGAAGTTAGCAAGAATGAAGATGGCAATTTAATTTTTAAATATTAATACCAACCTTAATTTTTGAATTTTTTTATTATATCTTTACTTTTGTGGCAAATATAAAGACATTTTATAAAAATTAAGAATATGTCAAAATGAAATTGACATTTCAAAGCGGAAGTTGCTTATATCTCGAGTAATATTGGAATTAAACGTATCATGTTTTACTCATTTTAAAGGATTTTTCACGACGATTACAAATATGTCAAAATTGACGTTAACATTCTTAACCGGAAGTTGACCATAACTTCATTAATATTGAAGATAAATATGTCGTGTTTGTACTTATTTTAAAGGATTTTTAATGAAGATTACAAATATGTAAAAATTGAGGTTGACATTTTACACCGCTAAAAAAAAACTTTCAGGTGTTAATGTCAACTTTAATTTTATTATTTTATTCGTAATCTTTATAAAATAACCTTTAAAATGAGTCCAAACATGATGCAAGATTACAAATATGTTAAAATTGAGATTGGCATTTTAAACTTGAAGTTAGTTATCATATAATAAAAGTTTGTTGAAATCAGTTGAAAAGTACAAAATCAAACTCTAGATAATTTTCTTAAAAAATTTTTACACGAAACATTGTTCATTCGTCTTTGTAGTGTAGTTTGCTTGTTATCTTATCATGTAAGTCCAAAAATTTGTATATTTTACATTTATATTTAAAGATTTTCATTTTAGTTTTACATTAAGCCTTTTAACTTATGTTTAAATTCTTGTTTTATCATTGACAGTAAGTTATATTATCATTTATTTTAAGATATTTTCTTGTCATATAATATTCATTGTAGATTCAGCCGATGATGGCATTTTAGCCGAAACCGGTACTGATTATACTAATTTTATACCGAGAAAGAAGTTATTTTGTTTAAATACCTAAATTTTATTTACTTTTATGACTTGCAACTTGGATTACCAAAGATAGTTTCCAATTAACTTTCAATTTGTTGTGGCGCGTATACTGTTCGAAGCCACTTTTTCGTTTAATGGGCCTCTCTTTGTAAATCCATGTTGAATTGTTTGGGAAACTCGACTTTTTCGACGAAGTGCTATGTGTTTAACATTACACATAAAGTGACTAATAATGACTAATATCACGTGCACATCAAATGAGTATATACTCAAACAATAGAATGAATAAAGAAAAAATAATCAACCAAGATAAGTGTACTTTTGCCTCTATAGACAGGTCAAAAGCATCAATGAGAGCTTCAAGCAATCGTCGAATGAAGGATTAAGAATTATGCTTAATATCGGAAATTAATTTTCATCTATCAAATTTAGCGATATAATACTCCACAAATCACCTAGAGAACGCAGCAAAGGTGGAAATATTAAGGGAGTAAGAATTAAAGAAGTCACAGCTGTAATTAACAAAACCCAATATGGTAGTATTGGAAGATTTCATTATTTGAACTAAAACTACAACTAACACTATCACTAGAATTATCACTAGACCTAGATCTAAAATCTTTTGGGATAAGCTTTTGTGATTTTGGTTGCCATGTTGCAATCTTCTTAAGAAGCAAGTTCGAACTTGTTCTTCAACGAGTTCCACGCACGGCTTAACCCGAATGTTTCTAGGTCTACTATTAGTTGTAGTGATAGTGCTAGTATTAGTTCTAGTTTTAGTTTAATTAACACCGATCGTGAAAGCTCTCGTACTTATAACTGAGGCCAGTTTATATACTCCTCCAAAACATGATATCAAATGTGAAAATACGAACAGTTCTTTCAAGCCATTGGTAATTGATTCGTCGTACGTGGTGATTACAATGCAAAACACACATTGGGGATCGAGGCTAATTACTGCCGAAGCTAGAAAACTGCTACGTTCGCATTGGCCAACTAATCCAGATAAGATCCCAGACCAGATAGAAATCAACATCGTCAAAGTGCCAAAAATGTAAATCATAATTTACAGTATTTCTTCCATTTCAAGGACGAGTAGCTGGTGCTTTGTGGTCTCCTTCAATCAATGGTTTAATTTGCAAATATACGTCATCCATTGGTTTTGTCAAGCCAGTCATCAGGTAGAAAGTGGCTGCGATTATTCTAGTAACACCATTCAGTAGTAAGTGCAAAAAATGTTCAACAAATGTCCTTGTCAGGCTATAACAGTAAGCAAATTCATAGTTAATGATCACTTCACAAAACTAAGAATCGAATTAACAGAAAAGAATTTTATGACAAAACCTGAAACATCTCACAGTTTATCAACAAGCTGTTCTAGCAAGAAGAGATGCAAAAGAGTGCATAAAATGTAACAATTGTTGCATACGACATTGGTACAGCTATCCCACCTATGGTGATATGCCAAGACCAGCGTTTGACCTCCTTGAGCGGCAGGAGCTGTATAAGAACAAATATTTTCATTAAATGGGTTGATCACTTTGCCCGATATAAAGTAGCCGGAGAAGTAGTGCTAATATTTGATAGAGCTTTTTCTCATCAGAATGCAAACATCGCAAATGCTGCTGATAAACACCACGTTATATTGGCATTATAGCCGAAACCGGTACTGATTATATTAATTTTATAGCGAGAAAGAAGTTATTTTATTTAAATACCTAAATGTTATTTATTGTTAACTGTTTCGGTTTGGATGCAAAGTACAATGACAAAGTTTCTTTGATTGACAGTGCTTTTTATTAGTCGGAATAATCACAATGTTTTTCGTTTACATTCAGTTTAATTGTTTATTTTGTTTCACATTTAACAACGACAGCACTTAACTAAGTCACTACTTTTATATGGGGTTTGATTCTTTTTATTCTTGTGTTGGGTGAAACGTAGTTACTGATGGTTACGTGACTATTGATAATTATGTGGTTATCGGACGACATTGTGGACGAGATGTAGAGTAGTTGTCGACATGTGGACAGAGGAACAATAAATAAAAGTAAACAATTTATTCTTTAATTTAACCTTTCACCTCAATCCAAAAAGGAACAACAGTCATCACATGTAGATTAGTTTTTAGCAGATCTTTTTAGATGATCTCTTCATTATTATTGTTTGAATTAATCGGCACATTAAATCCACATATGAGATTTAAATTATGACCGGTTTAAATACTGAACTTTGCGATAACACCACACAGACTGATAAGATAGTCTCGGTTTTATCTTATTGCCGAAAGTAAATACATGAATGATAGCGTGGATGTGAGTGAGTTCACGACAGCGTACGCCATAAACAGTAAATAATGCAGTGTGTCGCGCAACGTTGGCGTGGTGAGTCGCCAACCTTAAAACCTGTAAGTGACATTATTTTAGTATAACGACGAGTGTAAATTCTGTTTAGGGAGTAACTCCACGTATTCACGTTAAAGTCGAGTCGTTTTATAGGTGGTACCTGCCTTTGCGACTAACGTCCGACGACGACATTTCCGGGTCTTATGACGAGTCTTCCCGTTCTCTCGTTTAGGGGAATTTAAACTTTCGACACCAAGATCCAGGGTTTCGGTGCAACTTTAAGTTTTCGAGTACTAACTTCCGTTGGCTGAAGCAGTTGTTCAAGTTGGAAAACGGTTCTTAAATTAGAAGGTATTTTCCACTTAATCACGAGAAACGGCGGTTATTGAGATCCCATTGTTTCTTATAAATGGTTTCGCCAACTAATTACTTGCGTTTGTATCAATAAAAAAAATTGTATGAGAAAATGAGTACAGAAATGACATTTGAAGATTTAAAAAAATACGACGGTACAGGCCCGGACAATAGAATACTCGTCGCTATTAAAGGGAATATCTACGATGTTTCGAAAGCGAGAAACTTTTATGGTCCAGGAGGCAGTTACGCAGCTTTTGCAGGAAGAGATGCTTCCAGAGGGTTAGCCACTTTCAAAGTATCCGTTAGTGATAACGAGTACGACGACTTGAGTGACCTAACTCCGAAAGAAATCGAATCGCTGACAAAATGGGAAACGAAATTCAAGGAAAAGTACAATTTGGTTGGTAAATTGGTCAAACTAAATCCCGATACTTAAATTTGTTTCTAAATTATTATTTTCTATGTAAACCTTTTGTATAATGCAATAAAATAATTTAATAATTATATACTTTTTACTTTTTATATAAGCATTATATACTTTTTCATCAAAATATATAAACGAACCAGCAACACTTAACTTTCAGCTATAAGTGGCTTCAACAAAAGAGTGATTGCGTTTGAAGTTTCCTTAGCGGCGACGACGAGAGGAGCCCTTAGGCTATGGCGGTGTTGCCACGATTACCACGAAACAGGGGTGGAAATTTCTTCCCTTTACTGACGACAAGGCGAGTTTGAAACGGGAGAGTGAAAATGCTTTGCCACTCTTACATCTTTGACGTACACCCAGGCGAGATAAGCCTTCTAATTGAAACGATTTAGAGTATCCTCCCACGGTATTGCCACTAACTTCAGCCACTCCCGACAGCACTCTCCACTTATTTTATTTGCACAAACGTGTTAGATTCTCTAAATAGGTATTAGAGAATCCAACTTGACAAGACAACATTGAAACGTTTCTTACGCTGAAAGATTTTATTGTAGTGTCTTAATCTCAGGTATAGTATTTATTGCTTAATTAGAGTAATAATGTTTCAAGTTGAACGAAGAATGAGTATCCAAACTACAACAATAATTAATTTAGAATGATAGATGATGCGGAAAGACTGTTCTTCGTAGTTCTAGGGGGCACTTATTGCGCCCTGTTTGGCGAATTAAGTAGATACCGAGCTGGTTTCCGGTGGTGTACAAATTGCGCTCGGCTCATGAAAGGGAGCGATATATCATGCGGTCTCGTCCTCCTCTCGAGTGGCAGCAACGGTCCTTCTGCTGCGGGAATTCAATAAACATCATTCCAGATTGTTAAGTAGACCGAGAAAACCGGCGGAGTTCTTTCAAATTAAAACGGCGGTGGCTTAACCCACTTCGCCGTTCGCAAATTACTTTAGGGACAATTTCGCGTTATGACGTCGAACGCGAAATTCAATTTCGCTCGGACAAGAAGAGGGGTTGAAAATTTTCCCGATATTATCAATTCGTCGGGGAGCGATTCGTCGATAGGACCTCACTCGAAAGCGCCGTCCCCAATGAAACAATAATAGAGGCGAAGAAAAAACCGTGAAAAGGTTACGGACACAAGTTTCGAAACCCCAATGCAGACCAACAATGGGGTCGGTTGGTCGGTCCATGAGGTAATTAAATCCCCAACACATGTTGAATTGTAAAAACTCGACCGGTTAAAATGCTCGTGCATACTAATTGGGCGGGGGTGCATTTCGTTTTTAATTCACGTACTCGACGTCCGCCCTCTTCTGCTGGTACTAGTACGCTTCGTTCCTATTAGATACGCTACGTATGCAGATGACAGCCTGCAGAAACTTCTCGTCGCGAATTTAAATGTAATTGAAGCGTTTTTGATATTGCTTCTCCCACGTTAACCGACTCGTTGCTTGCGTAACACTAATTATGGAACCTTTTACATTTACATTTAATTAACTATACAAATTCAGTTATACAAGTTCAAGATGAAATATATAGACAGTCTAATACTTACAAGTATGGCATGAGAAAATCTTTCAAATGTGGAAATATATAGCTACACTATGGATACACAAATTTAGAAAGGTTATTATAAATGAGGAGCGTCTATTCAAAAGGGGCTCTTTCCGTATTGGATGCTTCACACGTTTTTTAGTGAAATGTAGTGGTGATATAGGATCCTACTACAGATTGTGTTTAGTCTTGGTGATTTTGCTCAAAAAGTGCTATTTTTTTCTGATTGAAACTAATTATTACTTAATTAATTTCTGTTCAAAGAGAGCTATATTTCATATTAGTGTCGGTTAGGATGATAAGTTCTGTTCAAAGAAGACTATTTCCTTGATTTTTATGCGACATTCGTTACGTATTTTGCATTCAAATTGACAACAAAACACAGCTTTTATTATACGTTATGGCAAGTGTCAAAATACTACTATCTGTGGTGACAAGTTTCTCCCCCGCGGATATTTTGTCGATTGATTTATTGATTTCAACAAATTTATTCAAAAATTCTATAAAACCCGACTGAAACATGGATGTAGGTGCCCTAAATAGTGGCGTAAGACAGAAAATACGAAAAGATTGCTCCACCTATCGTAAAAAGTAAGTGTCTTTGGTACTCTTCTTTTTTTGTGTACGAATATTTTGTTTTATGTTGGTTTCCTCATACGATTTAGATGTAAAAACACGAAGTCAGGAAACGTTTGTATAATACAATTACGGAAATCGAGCAAGACATCTTTTTAGCAAGGCTTATGGGCCCTTCAGAACCTAACAGGAAAGAGAAATCTAGTCCCAGGTCCTGTACAAGAAACCGTGCTGTTAATGGTACCTAATATGTAATAAAACTTCAAGGCATGAAGATGCAAAAAGTTTGTATTTTCTTTTTTATTGAAGTTTTCAATGTTTCAAGAAAAAGACTCCAAAATTTGAATAAATTCCAAAAAAATAAGACAATATGATTCTGTCACAGCAGCTCTCAGAGTTTCACGCACAATGTTTTATGAAATGTTTTACAAAGAATACAACATTAGTTTTAAAACCCTGCATCAGATGTCTGTGGTACTTGCATTCTTTGGAAAAATAAAATAAAACTTGAAAAAAAAATCGTGAAAAAAACAACTCTATGAAGGCCAATGCATTTTATGCTATGACTCGCAGGATATACTTGACAGTATAAGTTTGTCTTTTGATATGGAAAAAGTGCAACCGTTAGCAAAAACTCCTATACACGATGTATACTATTCGAGACAAATAAGTTTATATAACTTATGTGTTGTAACATTGGATTCAAAAAATCCCACATTCTTTACATGGTTCTGTCTCTAGAATCTTCGTGTCTCTAGAATCTGCATTATTCACCTATTTAAAGGACTTGGAAATATCTACAAATATAAAAAATATACAATTTGTTCTGTGATGGTTGTGGGAGGGCAGAACAAAAATAGTCATATTGTTCATCTCCTAATACTCCCTCCAACGAAAAAGAAATAACATTAACATTTCCAGTTAGAGGCCACAGCTTTCTTCCGGCAAATCGGGTTTCTGGCAGATTAGAGAACGATATCAAAAAACAAATGGTAATGACACTTGCTGAACCATATTATGAAATTTTGGAAGAAAACTGGGGTCTGTATGATATCAAAGACATTGAACAATATTATAAGAAAGTAGTAGATATCCGTTCAGGAAAAAGAATTATTATAAAAAAATCTGGTTGCAATATTTACACCCACGACACATATCGTTTTGAAACAAATAAAGAGCCAATTAATCTTCTAAAGCGAGGTAAGCGCCATTGCCAAACTGTTACACAATTACCCGTGAGACCTCAAGGTATAAACAGGAACAAAAAGAAAGATGTAGCAAATTTACTCGTCAAGCAGTCAGGTGACAGCTGGACTGATTTAACGGAGTTAGCATTTTTTATGAATATTATTTTTGATCAAGAAACTACAATCACCAATGATAACGTTGTAGATCATCAGCATGGTGAATCTTGTGATTGTTTGGAGCATGATGTTGGTGTAATCAGAATATAAATAAATATTCTTATGTCTGTTTTTTATTTACCCTTAACCTATCCTTTTTAGTCTATGCATTCATAATCAAAAAGTGCTATATATCCAATGTTCTGTTCAAAAGCTTATTTTCATTTCAGATCAAAAGATGCTATTTTCAGAAATTCTGATCAAAAGGTGCAATTTCCATTTTTTAATGTTACGTTTTGTGCTTTTTAGTAATGATACAAAAAAAATATTTTACCCTAAAAATTCGTAGCCTTATAAACAATTATTTTAATTTAAAAAATATATACCTGCACATACATTTTTCAATAACTATAAGTTTGTTTTAGTTTTTCTAAAATTTCTTTAGTATGGAAATACCCCTTAAACGACGCTCCTCAATTATCATACATATTACAGAATTATACTTGTTTATAAACTGAACAAATCCCATTAATTTCGTCGATTTAGTATTAAGAAATTTTATTTCAAATTTAAAACATGATATGAAACCCATCGGCTATTCGGAATAGCCCGAAACTAGTTTTAATGAACTATTGAAGTGCTGAAACAGATGAAGATGAAAAGTTCAGCATAGTTTGCGCCAGAATTCAGAAATAGTCTTGAAGGTTTGTCTCGGATGGTGGAATCTGACCCAATTGATGGGTCGAGGAACGTTCGCACAGACACTCGACGTTCACCTCTCTAGTGTTTTCGCCGAATTTAATTATTGAATGATAATAGTCAATTATACAAATAAACAATTAATCATTCTTTTTGCAAGAAGTATGAAAACAGACAAGAAACAGATCTATAATTAATAATAATAATTAAAGTATAAACCCCGCAATAGCACAATAAAATTGAACAAGCAGTCATTTTAAAATGTAGAAGCATCACTTATAAACTTATCAATATTGTAATAGGCCCTCTCCAACAAAATATTTTTAATTTTATTGACCGAAGTCTTAAAAGATAAGCCCATTAAATCACTATACACAATATTGTAAAATTTTCCCCATAGTAATTGTATGCGTTTCTAGATTTATGAAGTCGTATTGAAACATGCCGAACGTCATTCCTCCTTCTGGTTTCGTATTTGTGAATATCATTATTCTTTTCATGCTGATAACGATGCAATAACATGAATTTTAGGCATTCCAAAATATATAATGAGGGAAGCGTTAATATTTTTAAATTAATGAAAGAAGAGTTCCGAATGTTCCGAATGACTCTTCTTTGTAAACCAAAAATTCATTTACTCATCTAGTATGACTTTGGAAAAGCACAAAATAGGCTGTACGCGGTACTTCAGTAGAAGAAAATTCCGAGAGACGGCTCAACAGAAAGACAGTGGAATTCAAATGAGAAGCTAAAACTTCCACACGGAAGTTCCATGGAAGTCCAAGATTCACATGGACACCAAGAAATCTGATTCCCTTCTCCGAAATTA